ACACATTTTACTAGCCTAAGGTTTTAAAACCCTAAACCCAAAATCTAAATTTATAAATTATTAACGTTTATATATTTTGTGCAAAATTTATTAACACATTTTACTAACCTAAGGTTTCAAAAACCAAAATTAAATAACATTACACATGTATTAAAGCTTAAATAATAAATTAAATAAATTACACCTAATCATTTTTGCATGATTTAAAATTATAACATTTACTAGTCTAAGGTTGGAAATATCAACATTAATAATACATCACATTCACTAACCTAAAGTTTCAAGTATCAACACTAAATACTACAACATATTTACTAACCTAAAGTTTCAAGCATAAACACTAAATAATATAACATATTTACTAACCTAAAGTTTCATGCCTAAACACTAAATAATATAACATATTTATAAAAAAAACTTAATTAATGAAACAAACATATTATAAAAGCAATAAAATAAATTACTAACCTTGTAGAGAGAGAATGCACTTAGAGAGAGAGAGAGAGAGAGAGTGAGGGAGTGAGGGAGAGGATGAGAGAAATTGGTGGGGGGAGGGGGTGGGGACGGAAGGGTTTATATAGCAAAAAATTTGCACCTAATTCGCTACCCAAGGCAGCGAATTCGTGCCATGCTGCCACGTGTCTGACATGCGCAGGGCAGCAGATGACCGTTGCCACGTATTTCGCTACACAGACTAGCGAAATACGGGTGGCTTGACACGTGTCCAAAAGTTGCCTGGCAGGGCTGACCTTTTGACCACGTATTTCGCTACCCTGTGTAGCGAAATACGTGGACCACTGAGGACTTGACACATCATCAGGCCTAATTCGCTGCACTGTGTAGCGAATTAGCCTGCGTGGCAGTTTGAAAAATTTTACTGTGCGCGTGACATTCTGGTAAATTTTATGATGAACAGTGACAAATTGGTCACTGTTCCGAGAACCGACAACAACCTATTTAACTTTTTTTCCCCCTTCTGTGCTTGACAAGGGACAAGTGCATGTGAAGGGGCTTGGAAAATGATAGTTACTTGCTGTAGGAGTTTTTGCAGAATGCAGAGATGTTCAGACTTCAGATTGACCAACCTCTTTTTTTTCTTTAACTCATCTTTTTTTTTTTTTCAGATTTAAATCTTTTTAGTTTCATTTTTTTAATATCACATGGACAAAGTAGCAATCCCAAAGCGCAACAGAGGCAAGAAAATAAGCCATTCAAATTTCAATGTGCATAGACCACTAGGGTGCTTGCGGGCGTGTGTAATGGAGTAGTCTGTGTTCAATTCTTATGTAATGTAAAAAAAAAAAAATTTAATGTGCATAAAACTTCGTTAAAAGCATTAATTAACCATGGTAAATACCACATTGGAATAAGAAAATTTCTTAGAAGAAACACGCCCTAAGTGGGCATGTTTTTCTTATAAATCACGTTCCACGTGAGCGTGGTTCTTTCTTTTGGAATATGTCTTTGTGGGTGTGTTTAACTGTTATATTTGTGTAAATAATTTTAAAATGATTATATTTGTGTAATTATTTATTCAAAAAATGAAATTAATTTTTTTGCTGGCATTTGCATTTCAAAGAGTTAATATGGCCATTTCATGAAGTTTGTTTACTAGTTTGTTAGGGGATGTTTACTAGTTTGTTAGGTAGAGAAAAAAAAAATTATTCGAGAATCACGATTTTCAGAAATACGATGGGAAGATGAATTTTCTGGAAATGTTGTCAAAAAAATTGTTTGGTAGATTAAAATATTTCTGAAAAAATTAAGTTTTCAAGAATTTTTTTAAAAATCTTATAACAAACGTTTCCTTGTACCAAATACTCCTTAGTGTTTATATCCATTTGCCTTCATTGTCATTGAAGGATTAGTATAGGTATTATCCACTCAGTGAGTTTAAAACCATGAATTAAAATTTAGAAATTAAAAAAAAGGGAAAAAAATTGGATTTTGATAGTTTGAGAAGCACCGGCAATTTTTATTTTTATTTTTTCTCCACCAAAACAGAAACAAAAAATGGAAAAGTTGTACGTTATCCAAGACAGCCTGGTTTTTTACAAGGTTTCTTAACAACAGTACTCAACTTAATTCGGTAGATTCTTCACGCTCACGAATCTATCAGAGGCATGCGCATTATAACATTGATTTCTGCTCTTCCGTGAAATTACTTTTTGACCTTTTAGACACATCACTTCATGTTTTTTGGATGGGAGTGGGATTTTGTGTGTGTGTAAATATAATAGCCTTAGCCCCCTGCTTAAACTTCTTTTCTAGCTTCAAACGGTTCAACCATTCCAATTCTTTGATGCCACAGCAAAGAAAAACCTTTTACATTTCTTTTATCTGAAAGGAAATTATCCAAATGACACAATTTCATGTATTATCTCCAATAGATTAATTTATCTTCTCAAATTATATATTAGTTTGTCCGTCTTGTTGAACAATACCAAAAATCCTAAATTAATAAAATTATTGTTAGAGGGCTGATTGACCGTTTCAAGAAACTTTTATCCGTTTGTATTCATTGAAAAATGTTTTTTATTCACTCTCTCCTCTTATGTCATTTCATTCTTATCAAGAGTGAGATTCATATCTATATATTTTTTTATTCACTCTCTCCTCCTTTATCTATTTTCTTCTTTAATTTAAAATGACACAACTTTACATCCTTTAAAATGATACACATTTTTCTCTTGTATAAATAACCTTAGCCATGGTTTATAGTTTCTTAACAAAATTATACTGAAATGTCCAACAAATATATATATATATATATATATATATATATATATAAATGGAGAAAAATCTGTTTACAAATTTTTTTTTACAAATTACACTAAGTATAAGTGGTCATACATTTTTAATTGAAATATGACCGATCATACTTAATGTTTTGTAAAAGTTTATAATTTGTAAATGGGTTTTGCATCTATCATTTAACATGACCACAACAACTTTCCTACACACACAACATTTTGTGGGACTCGCAATTTTTGAAACCAAAAAAAAAAAAAAAAACTCAGGCACGCAAAATGAATCTCTATAACATAACACAAACACTTTTCCTACAACATAACTCTTATAAAACTCTTTATAAATATAACTTTCCAGTACTTTTTTTGTTTTATTGGTCCATAATATATATCAGTACTCAACATGCACACAGTCTGTAGGCGTACATAATTGAGGCTCGCTCTGATATGATGCATCACTCTTAGAGGGAGTTTGGTAAGAGAAATTTTTCAGTATTTTCGACAAATTAATTTTTTTTAAATTTTTAATTTTTGGATATTATCTTAAATTGAATGTTTTCATTATATTTTTAAAAATCGAGATTTTCAGATAAAAAAAAATTTCTCCTCTATCAAATATCCCTTAGAGATTTACATCTATTATTTACGATTTTAAATTGGTCTTTTAAAAATGTGGGTGATATTGTTTACCAAAAAAAGAAATAATGTGGGTGATATCAAACTAGTAATTTCGTAAAATTCTATGTGACATTAATTTTGGTCTTTTTATATATCTTTTAAATACTTATAAAAAAATTAATTTGCCATCATAATGATTTGTTTTGGATGATTATAATGATAATTATAATTAGTCCGACGATATATGATATACCTTAGATTTTTACGCGTACGGAATAAAATATCCAACTTAATACTAGAGTTAGATAATTAGCACAACGCTATGGGAACCGAAAGTCACCATGCAAAGATGGACCGTTGGAATTATCTGCAAGTATCTAAAAGAAATGGGTGTTAATCTTTTCAATGCTTATATCCTCCAATGATGGTTGCTATTGAAGCTACAAACGTTTGTTGTGTACCACTTAAGCGAAAAATAAAAATCTTCAGGGTTGCACATATCATCTTCAGAGTTTACATATATATCATATTCAGGTTTGCACGTGACAAGCTTCAGTCCCGTTTACCATTATTTTTACAGATATTGATTGTTAAGGAATTATTATCCTTAGTCCAACAATCAAACTTACGTCTTAAGAATATAGTATTTACATTATTCTTATAGACGAAAGCTTTTATATTCGGAATCAATAAAATAAGGCAAATTCAATTGACGCCATATTGTAATGATAATTTCAGATAAAAAGTACAAGGCAAGGATTAAATAATAACTTTAAAATAAAATTTAGGAAACTAAGGTAATGAAAACTCCGAGTCTCCTAGAAGGAAAATATACAAAATTACAAATAATGTGTCCACAAAAGCAATTATAGGAAACAAAAAGCAAATAAAAGTCCTACAATGAAAATAAAAACATCTAAAAGTAACTTGGAAGAATTAGAGAATTTGGTATTAAACATAGATTTAGAAAATGAAATAAATTTGCATGAAATAAGCATTCTGTTCTTAGAATTAATTACAAAAACACGTATTCCAACATTTCAATTGAAAGATAATTGTGTTGAATAATTTTGCATAAAATTGTATATTTTTTTCTTTTTGGTCAATGTTGATATCTTTGTTAAAAAAATATTTTCATCTATTAGTTTCATATAAAATATTCGCCTCATTCTTTCGATCGATTTCATCTATTAGTTTCATATAAAATATTATAATAACTAATTAGAGTTATTATTAATATTATTATCAATCAATTTTATCGTTAGATCAATTTTGTTAATCTAACGGTTATATTTACATTCATTTTTGTATGACTGTGACTTTTTTTATTTAATATTTTATATTTATTTTCATTTTTATATGATTATGATTTTTTATATTTAATGCTTTTACATTAAATACAAAGAATCATAACCATACAAAAATAAAAATAACGTGAATATTGATCTAACCATAAAATTAATTGGCACTAATAATGTGATAACTTTAATTGATTATTATTATAATATACATAAAGAAAAATTAGAAAATGAAGCATTTTCAGAATGAAAAAAAAATAAAAAAAAAATGAAGAAATCACTGCCTATAAATCTCAAACTTGGGGCCTTGTCAGGTGTCAAGATACATGTTGGTAAGGAGATTTTTATCAGTTGCTGCTTCTTTCTTCTCAGATTGGTACTCATCTTTATTGTTGGGTTCATCAGTTTTTTTTTTAAGGCAATTTTAATATTGTTTTAAGTTTATTGTGTTATCCTTTCTCCGCCAGATCCATGCGCGAGGCAATCGTTGTAGGTCTCGTGAGATGGAAATCGTTGATGATGTCTTATATCTCTTCGCCTTCTCTGTTATGCTTTGCTCTATTGTTTGCTGTGATGTTGATGATGGCTATTATAAACCTTCACCGACAGTGATTTCTTTGATTAATCAGGTAAGAGTTTTCATTCAAATATACATCCATACATACATACATCCCTTTCATCTTATTTTCTAGACTGCTGAAATTTACTACATATATTATTTGAATATGTTAATGAAAATGATTTTTTATGCATAATTATCAATAAAAAGATGCAAATATTGGTAAAGTAATATTATAATATAAATTATAAAAATATTTTTGTCAATATACATATAATTCGTTTTTTTTCTTTTATTTTTTAACTGCAACAAATTATTGCTTAATATACCCACTGACAATAGTGGTAGTGGCTTCGGGTGGAACGACATAATAAAGAAAATAATCGATATTGAAAAAGAAATATACACTAAATGGATGAAGGTCAAATATATTATTTCCTAGACAAATCAATTGCTCTCCTTCCAATTCTTTATTTTTGTACAAATTTTAACCACATGACTTTTTTTTAGACACATTCCAATGCATTTGTGCAGAAAAAAAAGTCATGTGGAATTGCACGTCTTATTATTTGAAGTGCAAAAGTCATGTGCCACTGTAGTACATTTAACCAGAAGTCATTTGCACATCCAAAAGTGTATTTTTCAGACACATTCCAATGCCACTGTACTTCAAATAATTGCACGCAATAGTAATTATTATGCCACTGTTCCAAGTCTTATTTGTTAAAATGTCACGTTTACGCACTTTTTTTCCAAACTGCCATGAAGTCAAGTTTGCTGGGAGTAGTAGCGAACTAGGTATGGTGATGTGTCAGTAACCTGATGGTGCTCAAGTTCGCTACTGATACAGGCGAACTAGCTTGAGTGCAATAAATGCTGACACGTATGAAGAGTTCGCTGACAGACAAGGCAGACTTGGTTTGCCACGTGTCTGACCCCAACATAGTTCGCAGGGGACCAGGCGGACTCTTTGACATGTGTCAATTGGCACAAAGTTCGCTGACATTGACAACGAACTTTGTGCCACGTGGCAGTCCCCCACAAGTTTGTTGCCTAGGTAAGCGAACTACCTGCCGACAGTTACAGTTCGCTGCCCTAGGGAGCGAACTCAGTTCTATTTATACACACCCCCTCTTCCTCTCCCGAAGTCATTCTCGTCCGTTTTCCTTAAAGTTTCCATTTTTGTTTGTTACTTTTTGCTATTTCAGTACATAATGAGTGAGAGTAACAACGATGTAATATGTCTTCTATATTACAATGGGAGAAGATATTTTGGACCAAACTGTCAAGTGTTTGAAGGAGATACGGAGATCTTCCGCATGAGTTCGCGTTGCAAATATACTGAGTTGAAGAAAATAATATACAAGAAGTTGAGATTACAACAAGGTCAATCCCTGTCTCGACTGATTGGTAGATACGGTTCTGGTAACCCGGTGCAATGGGTTGCTGTAGAGGTGGTGGAGGATGAAGATGTGTCATTAATAGTTGATGCATTTCGACAGCACGAAGATGAGTCCTCATACATTGAGTTGTTTGCGGAACTAAACACTGGTGGAGAGGCAAGCACTCAAAGTTTCGTCCTTCCCAGTTACTTCATAGACACATGGAGCCGCAAGTAACTCCGGATGATATGTGGGTGATATTGTTTACCAAAAAAATAAAATTAGTCACTCCCATTAATGGGGGTGATATCAAACTAGTAATTTCGTAAAATTCTATGTGACATTAATTTTGGTCTTTTTATATATATTTTAAGTACTTATAAAAAAATTAATTTGCCATCATAATGATTTGTTTTGGATGATTATAATGATAATTATAATTAGTCCGACGATATATGATATACCTTAGATTTTTACGCGTACGGAATAAAATATCCAACTTAATACTAGAGTTAGATAATTAGCACAACGCTATGGGAACCGAAAGTCACCATGCAAAGATGGACCGTTTGAATTATCTGCAAGTATCTAAAAGAAATGTGTGTTAATCTTTTCAATGCTTATATCCTCCAATGATAGTTGCTATTGAAGGTACAAACGTTTGTTGTGTACCACTTAAGCGAAAAATAAAAATCTTCAGGGTTGCACATATCATCTTCAGAGTTTACATATATATCATATTCAGGTTTGCACATGACAAGCTTCAGTTCCGTTTACCATTAGTTTTACATATATTGATTGTTAAGAAATTATTATCCTTAGTACAACAATCAAACTTACGTCTTAAGAATATAGTATTTACATTATTCTTATAGAAGAAAGCTTTTATTCGGAATCAATTGACGCCATAGTGTAATGATAATTTCAGACAAAAGTACAAGGCAAAGATTAAATAATAACTTTAAAATAGAATTAAGGAAGCTAAGGTAATGAAAACTCCGACTCTCCTAGGATACAAAAACAATTATAGGATACAAAAACAAATAAAAGTCCTACAATGAAAAAAAAAAAAAAAAAACATGTAAAAGTAACATGGAAGAATTAGAGAACTTTGTATGAAGCACAGATTTATAAAATAAAATAAATTTGCATGAAATAAGCATTTTGTTCTTATAATTATTTAAAAAAACACATATTCCAACATTTCAATTGAAAGATAATTGTGTTGACTTATTTTGCATAAAATTGTATATATTTTCTTTTTGGTCAATGTTGATATCTTTGTTAAAAAAATATTTTCATCTGTTAGTGCCAATCTCTTAATATTAAAAAAATCTCTTTGTTTATAAACTTAATTAGTATAGTAATAATAATAATTCTGAATCAATACCAAAAATTATTTAATCATTAATAGAAATTTTTATGTAATAATGTAAAGTATTTAGTCTTTATGATTTTTTTTTTTTAAGATTTGTCGTGTAGTTGAGTTGTGTAAATTTATTAATTTGATATAATAGATTTTTGTTTTGGATGACTAAAATGACAATTTAATTTGGTCCAAAAATATATAATATATATCTTAGACTTTTAAGATAGGTTATACTTATAATTTTTTTTTTCTTTCTAATTATTCTATTATGGTTTGATCAGAATCAAAATAATAATGAATTATAATGAAAAAATTATAAATATAAACTTCCTCTAAATTTTTGAATATAAAATAGGGAAAACTTCAAAAAAACCCTACAAGTTTCCTCAAAATCTCTTAACCCCTTCCCTGAAATTTTTAATCATTTACCCCCCTACTTAAATTTTTTTTATCACTTACCCACTTAATTTGATTTTTCATCCAAAATTTTGTTAACAGAGTTGATTTTTTTAAAAAATACCAAAATTACCCTAAATAGAAAAAAGAAAAACATAATTTCTTCACCAACACAATTTTAGACGAACTCACATAATATTTTCTTTAAGGTAGCCTTGTTAGAATTAGTAATGATTAAAATTATTTCCTACAAATTCATTTGCTATTAAACACCGTACTCACAATTGTTGGTGTCGTTGTTCAAATAAAATGATTAAAAATTTTGGGGAGGGGTTAAGTGATTTTGAGAAACTTATAGGAGTTTTTTTGAAGTTTTCCCTTAAAACTGTTACTTTTAAGCGGTAGCAAGTTTTTTTCGTTTTGATAATATTTGATATTGTGAGTGATTTACATCTTAGGGAGTTATTAGTGGACGATTCTATTGAGTATCATGTTGGTTTCTTTGCAATCAACTCGTTGATATTTTTAGCCCATGTATAATGAATTAAAAGAATTTGGCATACTGGTTTTATTAAGTTTTTAATTTTATATGTGAAATACGATTTTGGAAGTTGTATTGTTTGTGAGTTCTTGGCATTCGAACATAAACCTAGATTCAGATTGGGAATTTGCCTAAAGTCAGATTTGTTGATCATATAATAGCAGAAAAGCTTATAACAGAAAAGGAAAGATCTAAACATGCAACAGGGTGAAGATGATGTTGGTGGAAATGAAATGATTACTCTTGTTGAGTCTTCCAATGCATGGACACTTTGGAGGGATGTAATGGCGCATAATATGTTTAACACGTGGAGGAGTCGTGCTTGAGTTGGAGTCTTTTTAACTAGTCTTTGCTGATCTATGTTTGTCGGTTATTATGTAGTCTTTATTTGGTTTAGGAAACTGTTACCATTGAGATGATTTTCCTTGTATAATTAATTTTCTTGACAGCATTATTACTTATCATGTATGAGTTAATCATGGTGTCGTTGAATTAGAGTTTACGACCATTTATATCCGTATCTTCATTCTGTGCGTAAGTTATAAGTTATGTTGTTATATTTATCAATCTAACTTTCTCTTATTTTGTAGACCCATAGCAGATATTGTCTTTCTTTCATTCACACCATGGCAGAAGGTAGTCAGCAATCACAAAAGCGAAGTAATCATACGTGGACCGCCGAAGAGGACAAAGTCCTCATTGAATGTCTGTCCGAGATTGGACCATGTTGGAGGGGAGATAACGACTTTAAAGCTGGATATTCCAGTGCTATGGAGAAGATGATGCACCAGAGGATCCCTGGTTGTTCCCTCCGGTCAATTCCTCACATCACTTCCAGGGTGAAGTTGCTTAAAAAACAATATAATGCTATACATGAAATGGTTGGAGGAAACGGTGGAAGCGGCTTTGGTTGGAATGATGCAAAAAAAATGATCGATGTAGAGAAGGAAATATTCGATGAATGGGTGAAGGTGAGTTATTTATTTTTAAAGCATTGCATTATTTAAAATCATTTCATATCTTACACTATATATAATGCACAACATGTATTAATTGTGCAGAGCCACCCTACTGCAAAGGGTCTATACAACAAGCCATTCCTTCACTATGAAGCTTTGGGGACTATATTTGGCAAGGATGTGGCTAGTGGTGGTAATGCAGAATGCCCACAAGAATCAGTGAACCATTTGGAACGAGACCATGCTTTTCTTGATGAGAGTGGAACTGTATTTGATGACTACCTAGACCTTACATGAGACTACATACCCGCACCATGCCAGGAAACTGCAAGCCTGACATTGCAACTGAAAACCCAATCGAAGCAGCATCTGCAGCTGCAATTAATGTCCAAAAGGGAAAGAAAAGACAAAGGACCCCCGATCCTGTAGTTGTAGAAGTTGTTGGTGTCATGAAGGGTATTTCCCAAAGTTACCAAAAAACTACCGACAACATGGACAAGTTGGTAGCGTGCTTTGAACAACAGCAAGCTGGAAGCAATAGGCGGATATCTATTATGACTGAGCTTGAAAAATTCGAAGATCTAACTATGCCTCAGATGGTTCACGTTGTTGTGCAACTGGGTAAAGATAGCAATTTAACGGACATCTTCATGCAATGCAACGATGTGGCAAGGCGATGCCTGGTGTCTGGGTTGTTGTCTGATTACTTCTAATAATAGACATCAATATTTTTTGGTCCAGTAGGGATATTTTGTTACACTCTCTATGTGTTATATTTTGGTGTGGTTTATTTTCGTAGTATTTGCTTATAATTGTACACACATGGCTGCAGTAGAGTCAAATACAAATACTGACTCTAACATTTCATTTTTTGTATTAGCCATAACTGATACAAGTTAAATTATGTAATGGTGAGGCCTGTTGAGTTCCAATACCAAGAGGCACAAGTTTGACAGTATGGGGGCCATGTTGCTGGGTTCGGTTTTGTTCCTGCACAATCAGTCCCTTTGCAAGGAAACCCAGCTATACAATTCCCTATCTCATAGGGTAATGGTAACTTCAATCTTCCAATGCATGAAAGTTTTTAGTTATAGCATTGGGTATTTACTTCCTGATTTATGTATATGCAACCATCTCATTGTTCTGCATATGTTTTGCTCCCAAGCCTTTGGTGAGTTCGATTTTGTGCCTTGAAGTTGTAATCCCTATTTGGAAGACAGATTGGGTGTACAATTCATTCAGACGTGGGGGAATTGTAAGTTCAATCTGCATATCCATGTGTAAGTGATGAGTACTAGCATTGATCATATTTTTTTTTTTGCATCCTCGTTCACTCATGGGTATTTATTCTGTCAGCATGGTCTTCATATTGGGCATTGTCTACTGCTATATGCCTAAGATTTTAACTTGCTTCATTCTGTCGATTGTTTCCTAGTCTTTTTGTCATGCTACAACGATTAAAAAGTCATGCTGTGGAGAAGAACATTGGAGGGATCGAAGTCATGGGCATTGACTGTTGCATCAGGTTATGATGTTTGGCAGCATTGATGTGAGGCAGTTGCTGATCCATGTCTTCCCAGATAAACTCCAAAGGCCAACAACATGAACCATTCATGCATACTGTGTTTGATGTAGGGTGTATGAAGTAAATATTTTGCTTTGAAGTCAGATGTAATTCCTATTGTATATGGACCTTTCCTTAATCAAGGCAGTGTGGTTTCATGGACATAATTTTTTCCTTTTCCTTTGTTGTATCTGAATTATGTAAGTTAATATAATTGTGATATGTAAACCAGGTTCAAGTCACTTCTCCTTTATTGTCTGTACTCAAATGACAATGATATTTTATTTAGTAAGATGGTTATCAACAGAATACAGTGTTAGTATTTTATGCTTGCTTCCTTTTAATTAAGTTGATGTTTCTAGTAACATACGTATCAGGAAAAAATGTCAATGAAAAATAAGGCATTGCAATGGAATCCACACGAAAATACCACAGCACAAGACTTGGCCATTGATCAGACCAACCACAACACCAGCACTAAAATACCCGGTTAAACATAATGATGTAATGGATGTCATTGATGGTACCTATTCCATTCAATTAAACTGCAGTTCTTTTACTGAATTTAAAACAGCAAAACCAGATCAAAATAAATAGATCAGTATCTGAAATATCTTAGTAACAATTTTATTCATCAAAGGAAATGAACAAAGTCACTCCCATCAGTACAAAGGATATATTACAGACTCCATCTGCTGATCACTTTGAAAGGGATACACATTGGAATAAGAAAAGAGTCTAGACTCAATGATCACAGGTCTCAATGAGACTGTAATTACAGACTCCACTCAAGAGGAACATTACACTCATGAGATACAAATTACAGACTCCAACTCTTATTACTAACATCAATTCCCAGACTCACAGCTCCATCTACACAACAAAACCCGTTGGTGGAGAAAACCCTTCCTTCCCCCAACAGATTGGATAATTTTCTTCACACTTTTCCCTTGCTCCCACTCTCACTATTATTAACCCCTGCCGTGTTTCTCAGATAGCAATTTTGATTCCCAATTCATTCAGCATCTGCCAGCTGTCCATCTCTCCTTTATAGCAAACCACTTTCATCCTTTTACTCATTCTTTGGATCACTGCTCCTTTTACATTACTATTGATGCCCTGCCTGTATATCTACCCTTTTATGGATCATTGATCAACATAATTTTGGTGGGTTTAGCTTGCATCACAAACTTTGGCTGAGCTTGTAGTATTCCTTCTCCTATAATAACATGCAAATGGCTCTAGAGTCCCATCAGTCACCAGTTAGAACAGGGCCAAATGATCACAACTGACACCATTTATCCACCACATAATGATCATGCAGGATGGACCTTTGCACCAACAATGAACCCAATGGCAATGGCTATTGTTCTTTATTTTGATATGTAAAAGGTCTGCGGATGCTGTGGCAATGGCAGTGTACACCAGCAGAGAATGTGGGAGCAAAACTTCATAGGATTCTAGCCTTTGTTGCCACAGACGGGTTGCCATCTAACATAATGGAAGTGGTGAGGTCTTGTTTATTAGCATGGCCAAAAAATTCCTTGACACCTGCCTTCATTCCATTGCAGCATCATATTATCCAACCACAATTGCTTTACTCATCAATCTGTGCTTCATCAAAACTTGTAAGCAGTAAGAACATGTCACATGATAGCTTCAATATGATTAGGTTGTGTAAGTGCTTCTTCAATGAGAGGATCAGCAAGAGAGTTAAACCAACATTGTATATGCAACCAAATTACCTACGATAAATTTATTCTTTTCTGGTTTATGAATAAAATGCATTTGATAAAATTAAGGTAAAAGGAACAGGAAAACTTCATAAATACATTGGTGAATGAAATTTAAAATTACCTGCAATAACTGAGATTCAGAAATTCTAGTATCTTGTGTTGATGCGAGACTTCAATTTGCTGATAAGGTACTGGATAAATTTATTCAAACTGGCTTTCCTTCCCTCCTTCCACTTTCAAATTTCAGGGACGAGATATCTTCCACTTGGATGGTATTCTAGAGCATCCATTAATTTGGGTTGATAGAGTAATTTCATTCCAGAAGCATCTGAAGACCTTCTTCTTCATGACCTGAAAAGTTCCAGAATCCACATAGAAACATTATCCATATAGAAACCACTCAACACCAGTACGAACAGGGCTCACTAGTCCTAACTCTTTGCCACTTGCTTGTAGTAAAGATCAAACTCAGAAGTTCCAGTAACCATATAGAAGCAACCCTGGACGTTTTTCAATTCAAAGAAGTTCATTTCCAGTAGGGTATAAAGTAAGGCATTAAGTAAGAGACACGACAAACATAACTACATCAACAGTTCATGACATTCATAAATAACATAATTAACAGACAATCATCATACACAATAGTTAGGACAAACAAAAAGCACATACAACTGCCAAATTACAACTCCATACAACATAACTACAGATATGGTAATGCAACACATTTAGCAAACCATTACAATAGGTGTCAACGAAATATCAACATTGCAGTCATGATGATCCCAAATGTTATAACCATTACAATTAGCAAAAGGCTATGGTCTTTCATCAATTTCTCGAACGTCATACAATTACGGCAACTCGGTTCTTCAAACCACTCAAAAAATGACAATCATGTTGTGTTCTGAAATTACGAAATCCAAGAAATTCCATTCCCGGGTTCCTATCAGTGTGAGACATTCGCAACGCAGCCGGCACTCCGCAATAGCACATCTTCACCCTAGAAGGGGACAACGACGCCGAATGCTTAGAAATGACGCTTTCACCTCCACCTATGCCGGACCCACTTCCACCCATGCTTCCGTCAATGGTCCTACAGTGCTCTATTGCAAGACTCCTCTCACCAGTCACTGTCTATTTTGGTTACTGCCGTAAGAAAAAGGAGACAGATCGCGAGTTCAGTTAAACTTATAGGCAACAAACAAACTCATATTTATATAGTATAATCCAAAACTGTTTAAAGAAACACTTTCCAACAATAACATTTCAACAACAGGTTCATAACAACAAACTTATTCGATAAATTTAAATTTCATTATTAATTATTTGTTTATTTCTTTTCGGCATAAGAATAGTTTAATCCAACGATCACTGATTCCTAACTTCTTATGTTCTAACCAATATTAATAGGATTATAGTGTTACGTGCTTGTGTGTGTTTATAAGTTATGAGATAGTTAATTTCCTTTATGAATGTGTGGATTACAATATTTGGAGGGGACTGTCCCTGTTCATTTACCTCCACAAATACCTAGTCGTGCGGCTGACAAATATAATAGGATTACAATATTAATAGGATTACAATATTTGCATGGCAGTTACGGGAAGTTATTATTCTTTATTTATTAGTGTGAATTCAGATGAAGAGAGATCAGATCTGTTTGGATTCATTTTTGGTCAGGGGACTGGGGCTAGGAGAGTTCCTCCTTGCTGGGAGCATTTGCTCTTATTATTCTGTAATTTCTCTTTTAATTATTAATAAAATCCTTTCTATAGACTCTGGACAGCGAGTTAGACCTATCAGAAAGTAGTGGATGTTTTTTTTTCTTTTTTCTTTTTTCCCTTTCTTACGACCTAAGGGTGATGAGATTAGTAGTGTATAGTAGTAGTTGACTTATCCTTCACTCTTGTTTATAATTTTTCTATTCTAAACGCTACTGACTCTTTCAATAATGTTTTATGCAGATCAAAACAATTGTTCCAAGTTATATGTTAAGGGTAACAATAATTCCATTTTTTTTAAGGATCTTGACAGGGTGTGGGCATGCCAGACAAATAGGGATAAATATTACTTTGATCCGTCAGACACATTATTAGTAGATGACTCCCCTGAGAAGGCTTCGCTTAATGATGTAAGCTCTGTTTTTGGTCTTTCAGACACATTATTTCCTCTCTTACGCAGCAAGCTGTCCCAATTGTAACTATGTACTCCCGTGAATATATAGTTATAATTGGGTGAAATGACGTAACTTCCTTCTTACAACATTATACTTATATTTTCCTTTTACTAATCCACATGTGCAAATTATTTTCAGGCCCGCAATTCAATATTTCCTCATAGTTATCAATATACTTAAACAGAAGACGAAGAACTATGAGAGACAATTAGCTTATTTAGCTTATTTCTTTATTTGAGATTGTTAGCTTATTTTTATTGATTTATAGATTCAAAGTCTTTTTAAATATCAAATGCTTAAAGTATATATGCCCCTGAAAGCATATTGATGAGCTTTTGTGTTTTTCCTATATGAGCTTTTAAATCCCACTGCTTCCATTTTTACTGTTCACAGCACGTATGATGAATTATCTACAAAGCCTGGCTCAAGCTGAGAATGTTCAAAGTTTTGTGTCATCAAATCCATTTAGGCCAACCAGTCTTAACTAGGATGATTAGTTGTTGGATGTTCAAAAGGCAAGATCAGTTTAATGTAAGCATGAACCATGTTCAATGTTGCAAATGTTGAAGGACACTGACCTTGATGAAAACCAGATGGATTGGCCGAGGTCTGATCTTCTTATTTCTTGGATCCTCCTAGAGCCAGGTTGGGTGAAGGTGAATACCAATGGGTCTTGTAGTGGTAATGGAAGCAAGTCTGGCTGCGGAGGTGTTTTGAGGGCTACTGAAGGGGAGCGGATGGTTGGCTACAATAAAAACACCGGGGTCTGTTATTCATTCTTGGCTGAACTCTGGGGAATCTTATTGGGGCAGCAGCTAGCTTGGAGTAGAGGATTTAAGCTCATCTGGCTAGAGTCTAATGGGCCTCTATTGAAGATCTCTTAAGCATAATGGAATACATATTTTGATGATGACAAAAGGTTTACAAAAAGTCTCAAATTGAAGATGGAGTTTGAAGATACAAGTGGTTAGGTATTTTTAGATATTTTCTTACACACAATATTATATCATATAATATCTACCTAAGCTCCAATACATATCATTGCATTTCATGCATTTAATTTCATTTTAAAAATCTGTTTTTTTTAAAAAAAAAAGGAGAAGGGAAAAGTATATTAAAAATTTGTTACGTTGATTGGTTTTTATACATTACCTAATTGACTTTTCCAACGTATAATTTAGATTTCTTTAAAAGCTATACTATATAATAATAATAAATTTTTATCACATCTGATTCTTTTTAGCATGTAGATGTAGTTTTAGTAAGACTAGTCAGCGTGTTGTTTTCTATCAGTATAAAAAGTGGTAAAATCCGAGAAAAGCTTTTAACAAGAAATCAGAAAACAAATGCAGTTCGTCTTTTTGAAATCTCTTTGGTTCGTCTTCGTTTACGCTCTCGGAAAAACGCGATCTCATTTTCTCTGAATAATCATCTTTGTTCTTCGGAAGTTTGCAAGAAAAATTTCAAAGCTCTCAGAGTCTCTACTCTTTGATAAGTTCTCAACTATTTTGAAGCATTTAATTCAAGATTCTTGGAACTAAGGTTGAAGAACCCAAACCATATTTTCTGTTTTACTTTGCTGAATATTTGAGATCTCTTGAGGTAATATTTTAACTCTTGTGTTGAGCATTCTTTGGTATATTCTTGAGACTTGATATTATTGAATTAATTTTCAGTTTTCTTTTTGATACATTGTAAGCATTCTGATTTTTCTGCTTTGATTCTAAGTGAATATTTTAGAAATCTTGATGCTCTTTGTGTAAGATTTGTGTTTCTAATTTTTGTGAAATATTGATTAAAAATATCAAATCTGAATTTATTTTTACACCTTGTTATACATTGTGTTAATTCAGATTTTTGTGTGAGATTCACTGTTTAGAAGCCACTTGCCCAACAAGTGGTATCAGAGCTTCGTGCTCTGAGTGATTGGCTATCTGCCAAAGAGTTAAAAATCCTATGACTTCTTTCCATCAGGATATTCCTCTTGAGGGTGGTTCCACCTATCGCCCTCCGTTTTTCAATGGGATTGATTATCCCTATTGGAAAACAAGGATGCAGGTTTTCCTTGAGTCGGTAGATCTTAAAATTTGGTATAGTGTAGAGGAAGGATATCAACCTCCAACTAGACTAGATGACAATGGTAAAAGTGTGCTTAAAAAATACACAGAGTTTACTAGAGCAGAATTAGAGAGTGCCCAATACAACTCAAAAGCAAAGAACTTAATAGTTAATGCACTTGGTAAGGATGAATACTACCGAGTATCTTCATGTAAGACCGCACGTGAGATGTGGCTTATTTTAGAAACAACCCATGAAGTTACTAGTGAAGTAAAGCATTCTAAACAAAATGCATTATCTAGAGAGTTTGAGCTCTTTGAGATGTATGAGGTGAGTCTATATTTGACATGCAAAAATGTTTCATGAATATAGTTACATCAATGAATGCTTTAAATATTTTTCATGATGATGAATTGTTAGTTAACAAAATTTTGAGATGTCTTACTAAGGAATGGGATGCAAAGGCTTCGACAATCTATGAAGCTAAAGATCTCTCCACAATGTCCATTGCTACCTTATTTGGAAAGCTTCAGGAATACGGGTTGGAGTTAAACAGAAGGGCTAACCGTGAGCTTAGCAAGAAAAATTCAAAGAGTATAGCTCTAAAAGTTTCTTCTTCCCAATCCAAGCAAAGTAAGAAAAGTATTGTTACTTCTTCAAGTGAATCAAGCACGGGTGAAGACGATGAAATGACAATGTTCGTGAAAAAGTTTAACAAGTCATTCACCAAGTTCTTCAACAAGAAGTTCAACAAAAGGAGAAGAAAGGCCAACAACCAAAGTAGAAAAGAAAGCAACTCAAGCAATGCTTGTTTTGAGTGTGGAAAAGAATGTCACTTTCAAAAGGACTGGCCAAACAAAAAGAATTGCAATGAAACAAAACTTGGTACAAGACATGGGTAATCTTTGGATATATGATATGCTTGTTATATGCCTTATTCATCTTTAATCCTTATTATATGTTATAATTGATTTTGATGATGTCAAAGGGGGAAAATATAAATATCATCAAATTGAACTTATGAGCTTATGCATATTGTAAGTGAGAAGTTATGAGAACATATGTATGCCTTATTTTAATTAGCATAAAAATTTTGAGTATGCATATGTTTAGGGGGAGTATGTGATTACATGATTTTAATATCTTATGCTACTAACCCTTACTTGTCTCAATTTGAGTTTAAATTGCCATCATCAAAAAGGGAGAGATTGAAGATCTCTTAAGCATAATTGAATACATATTTTGATGATGACAAAAGGTTTGCAAAAAGTCTCAAATTGAAGATGGAGTTTGAAGATACAAGTGGTTAGGTATTTTTAGATATTTTGTTACACACAATATTATATCATATAATATCTACCTAAGCTCCAATACATATCATTGCATTTCATGTATTTAATTTCATTTTAAAAATCTGTTTTTTTTAAAAAAAGGAGAAGAGAAAAGTATATTAAAAATTTGTTACGTTGATTGGTTTTTATACATTACCCAATTGACTTTTCCAACATATAGTTTAGATTTCTTGAAAAGCTATACTATATAATAATAATAAATTTTTATCACATCTAATTCATTTTAGTGTGTAGATGTAGTTTTAGTAAGACTAGTCACCGTGTTGTTCTCTATCAGTATAAAAAGTGGTAAATTCCGAGAAAAGCTTTTAACAAGAAATCAGAAAACAAATGCAGTTCGCCTTTTTGAAATCTCTTTGGTTCGTCTTCGTTTACGCTTTCGGAAAAACGCAATCTCATTTTCTCTAAATAATCATCTTTATTTTTCAGAAGTTTGCAAGAAAAATTTTAAAGCTCTTAGAGTCTCTGCTCTTTGAAAAGTTCTCAACTATTTTGAAGCATTTAATTCAAGATTCATGGAATTAAGGTTGAAGAACCCTAACCACATTTTCTGTTTTACTTTGCTGAATATTTGAGATCTTTTGAGGTAATATTTTAACTCTTGTGTTGAACATTCTTTGGTATATTCTTGAGACTTGATATTATTGATACATTGTAAGCATTCTGATTTTTCTGCTTTGATTCTAAGTGAATATTTTAGAAATCTTGATGCTCTTTGTGTAAGATTTGTGTTTCTAATTTTGTGAAATATTGATTAAAAATATCAAATCTGAATTTATTTTTACACCTTATTATACATTGTGTTAATTCAGGTTTTTGTGTGAGATTCACTGTTTAGAAGCCACTTGCCGAACATTTATAACCATTTGAAAGAACTTACATGAGGAAGAACACATTGTTCGACTAGGTTATTGAAGCTGAGGAAGACGAAAACTGAACTTGGATTCCAGGTAACGAAAATTTTCCCTATTTTTGTTCCTTGTATGAGGGTTGCGTTCTTGTTTAGCATTTGTTTTCCCTGTTTTTGTTCCTTGTATTGTATGAGGGTTCCATCACGAAAATTTTCCCTATTTGTGTTCCTTTAAAAATCATTTGTTTTCCCAAACCCATGTGTAATACTGCAAAATGTGGGTATCAATGCGTAATATGTTTATTCTGTGAAATGTTTTAATTATTTTCATTTTTTTATGCTTCATTTATTATATTTTTTTCAACTGTTGTACCTTTTTTTATTTGTTTCTTAGCCTGTTATGCCATTATATATGTAAGTTTCGGATGAAGGAGTAGATAAAGAACAACAATTAATGTTGTGGTAGATATATCTGCAATTTTTAATATCTTTCTTTCTGGATTTTTGATTACGCAATCACTCCTTGGCCTTTGGAAGTCTTAGAAACAGGTTTAAACTTTAATCTAAAATAGCAAATTTTCTAGAATTTTAATTGGAATTTGTCCTACTATCTCTTAACCAGAACTGCCTACAAATCAGCAACAAGTCTTTGGTAATAACCATATTGAGTACTTACTGACATTTAAAAGGGCAACCTTAGAGGGTGCTTTGGGACTGAAAGTCCCAAGTTGAATTTGAGCTCTAAAATAGAATAGAAATTTTTAATGGATGAATTATGTAGAGAGATAATAAAGTCAAGGAAAAGTGTCTAAGAAAGGAACATTCATTCCCGACCGTGTTGTCCCAAAACTTTATACAAGTACCATTACCCAGGTTAAAAGTAACTGGCAGTCTAAACGAGGGACTAGCATGGGTTGCAGTGATAATTGGTCAGCATCCCACCAATGTTTATCTAATCCAAACTTACTCTAAATTACTTACTTGATGCCATGACAAGGTAGTCTGTGAAGGAAAGTGACATAGCCACATTGCTGTCAAAGCAATGTTTTTAGACCCAAACACCCTTCTTTCTTATGCCTGCAACAAACCTCCTGGCTGACAAGATTATCTCTTCACAGCTGGCCCACAACAAACAGAGAAATTCCCCCACAATATTATCTATATGTTGAGTCAAGCCTTCATGCATTCAAAAGGTAAAGGGGAATGCTAGATGAGCAAGTCTAATGAGAGTAATCCAACCTGGTCATAGCTCGTGGTCCCACCTCCCAACTTCTAAAGAGTTAAAGAAACGGAACAATAAATATTGTCTTATTTGGTTTGAAAATCAGCAATGCTCTTACTAATTAAAATTCATGAACCTTGCAAATAACTGATTACATAATCAAGAGGAGTTTGGTGGACGAATAGTTACTTTCTCATTTATTACTATATAAATACTCAGCATAGTGTCCTACGGTTGTCTTGTATGTGCGACTATCTATTTTTTCTTGATTGCTACTTCACTGTGTGATTACTCTACTAGTGACTATACTAGAATGTACTCTGTTCTGTTAAGGAAGGTAGTTACACTGTTGTAACGGACTTAATACTGAGTCAGCTATGATCTGCTCTCTCAATAAAGCTTGCCTTGTACTAGAACAATTTGAGCTTCATAATATACAACAGAACACTGTTCAGTTATCTCTCTATATCTCTCTCATTTTCTTGATCATTATAGTAATAAAAAAGTATTAATAACAGTGGTAATTAGTTGATTGTGCAAGTGCATTGATTCCAGACCACGAAGCATTGCTATGTAAAAATATAAAATTTTGCTGTGTATCTTGAATTAATTTTAACCCAATAAATTGTATCATTGCAACTTCATGTTATAAAATTTATTCATTTAATCATCTAACATTTAAATAGTGTATAAAGAAAATGATACTTTAATTTGAGTAAATCATACAATGATATCACTCAAATTTATTCATTTCATCATCTAACATATTTATGAGTGTGAATGTTGTAGCATATTTATTTTATAAACAGCAATATTTTGGAGTTAGTTGGAGATGGAGCTCCTGAATACAATTTCTATATTTTTGTCTGCAATATTTAGGAAATTTATTATGCAGTCAATTGGCCTATTCTTTTTTTAGACAAGCTCATAGCTCAATGTAATCCACACTAGCAATAGTTCTTATGTTACTATTCTTGCCGTGTTCCTAACTCAATTCTAACTGTATATTGCAGTCTCTTGGAAGCATAGTGGCATTTCTGCCCACGGTGTCCATAGCAACAATTGGCCTCTATATTGCTTATGCCCTAACAAGCTTCTTTACGGTGACCTTGGCACGAAAACATTTTGTTCAAGGGCCTAACTCAAAGGAAAGCATGCACAAGCTTCAGTCAGTCAGATGTAGAAGGAGAAGTGATGTAACTGGATTCACAGTTGATGGTGAAATATACTTGGCTTCAAGGAAGAAGATGAAGAAAGCAATTCGAAAGGCCTTGGAGATGTCTAATTAGTTGTATTTTTCTATAAAAGAATGTGTACATAGGCCTAACTTTTCTGTTCATTTGGGACCGTGAAGATATGAAGACAGAGGAATTAGAGAAGCTAGCAAAACTGGCAGATTGGTGTAAGGAGCTAAAACTATAGGAGGATAAAAAGGCTGAAGCACCATCACCATGAAAAAAGCTTTAGAATTAGAATTCTTTGCCTCTCTGGGACGTAAAATTCCCCTGCTCTATACCTGAATAATCTTTTGCGGCAGATTTGTGATTTGGGTGGTTGCTATAATTAGCAAGTGTTTTTCTTGTCTTCTACATTGATGTGCATCTAGGTTGATTAAGGTGATATTAATGGATGTAAATGCATAGTAATTTACGTAAGCAAGCAATTTTCTGCTATTTGCATGTAATTCATGATCAATTATTTCATGGGTTTGATTCGTATAGCCAACTTTGACGAGGCAATGTTTTAGATAAGGGTAAAGTGTGTGTCATTTTAAAGGATTAAAGTTCTTTCATTTTAAGAGAGAGAAAGAGATAGATAAAGGAGAAGAGAGAGCTGACAAAGAAAATAAAGGTGTGGGTACTACTTCTTTGTGAGAGTGAAACGATATAAGTTGTGTCATTTAAAAGGATAAACACTTTTCCCTTTAGATAATCACCAAATTTTGAAGCCAACAAAATCAAAATACACTGCTAAAAAGCCAACCAAACTCCTTTTTAATCCATGAATATTACGAACTCTATCAATCTAAAAATTGCATCATGATCAATGTCTGTTTGTCCACTTATTTGTTACCAGTTCGTTGTCTATCAGCAGCCGATCGAGTTCTACGGCAGTTTGGATTTCAGCAGCTTGTTCCACATGCTCCGATAAGTTGTCTTGACCTGTTGACGATTAGCATTACTGGTAAGACAGAAGTAGATTGGAAGGAGAGACATGGATTCTTTATCGCTCAGTGGGAGGATAAGGATTCTCTGGTACTACAGGAGCTTTTACCTCTTGCGCATAATGATCAGGGCCACCTATCTGTTAACAGTGAGTATATGGGGTGGTTTCATAGAGTGACCCGTCGATGGATGACCCGCAGGGCTGCGATTGCGACGCACGTGGTATGTTGTAATACTATTGATGTGTTGTTTTATAATCTTGTTTCACAGTCACTAACAAGTTAATTCATGTTTGTACTACAGGTTGATCACGCGGAGACGGTGGTCCATATGACTTCGCCAGAGGGTCGGGTATCGTTCTCTATGGATCAGATTTATCACGAGTCACTCAGGGTAGTTGCCGCGTGTGATGATATGACCAGATTGACTGATCCTGGCGAGCCCGCAGCCCCATCGGTGGTACGTAATACACAGGACCCTCCGCCTGTCCAGCGTCGTACTCGACGTTCGCGTATCGAGGGTTTGCCGCTTCACCTTTCCACACCTCTTGTTGCTGATACGCTTGTTATAGTCCCTCCCATGCCCCCCCGTCCCGCCGGGATGTATTATTCCCTTGGTTTTCCAGCAGGTCCTTGTCAGCAGTATTGGTGGCCTCCGCAGTTTTTCGGTGCACAACCTGGGGTTCATCCAGCACAATATCTAGGAGTGTTCGCGGTCTGGATTGGTTCGGTTTTGGAAGCAAAATTCATCCGATCCAATCCCTTCTGTTTGATCATGTAATCATCCATTCGGTTTAGATTTTTTTTCAAATCCGATCCAATCCAATCCAATTTTTTTCGGTTTGGATTGGATCGGTTTTCGGTTTTTTGAATATCCTAAAATTAGTTTCATGATTATTGTGCAAATAACATCTTTTGTATATATTGGCTTTGTAAAAAAAAAATTGAAATACAAAAATATCAGTAAACAATACTATAGTTGATGAGACGTGACTAAGTTTTATTTTGGGTTTAGTTGATGAGTTAATGGGTCTTGAGTTTAGAAATTTTTGGGCTATGATTGGAGTAAGGACAAGTAGGTAGAGAATAATTAATATATTGGATCGGTTTGGATTGGATCGGTTTTCATCAACACATCCGAAAATCGATCCAATCCAATTAAAATTTGCGGTTTTCTTTCGGTTTCTGATTTTTCGGTTATCGGTTTTTCGATTCGGTTTTCGCGGTTTGAATCGGTTTGGATCGGTTGATGAACACACCTAACAGTATCCACCCTGGCAGACTGCGCCACTTATGGGTCAGTATGGGTTTCCATGTCAGCCGTTTCCCATGTATGTAGGCGGTAGCAGTTCACAGCCCACGCAGGGCTTGGACTCATTCACAGAGTACTACAAGCCAACTGCTGATCCACAGAATCCATCAGTTGTACATGCTCAGCCAGATGATTCTGACCCGGTGATTGCCATTCCCACTGCGTACTCGACGAGTTTCTTGCTGTCACCACATTCACAGCCATTCGGGGATTTTTCTGCCCAGGATTTGGCCGAGGCTATGCGGGAGGCGACTGATGGCGATTATCTTGGCCATGCGCAGGACGTACATGTTCCCGGTGCTGATGCAGATCCTGATGTTGATGGTGCTGATGCTCAGGGGATTAGGAGAAACCCCGTTGGACAGGCCAGGTTTACTTGCATGCTGTCACCCTTTGACCATGATCAGGTTAAATGCGCGGGGTATCATGCTCGACAACATTGATGTGTTATTTTGTTGTGTCTGTCTGTGTTTAGGTTGACTTTGCTTCAGTTCCTATGGACTATGGACTCTTATCTACGTATATTTTGCACTTGTCTTGGAGACTATATGTTTTGCGCGACTTATGTAGTTGTTGTAGTTGCTATGATTATCGTTGTTTACTTTGGTAATATTATGGGCACATATGATGTTTTCTTTATAATTATGGTTATGTTCCTGCCAAAAAGAAGCATTGAAATATTAAAATGTATATGGCGGTACTAAATATTATAACAAAGCCCACATGTTAGTGTACATACATCACTACTTTTGCGAATAACTAAATACACATGTTACTTACGCATATAATAAATATTTAAGACTCATTCACTGCTATGGTTGCTGGCGCGAAGGACAATTTCGTTTATTATGCCCAACCTCCCTACAATAACCGCATCTTGTTCGAGTAATTGCGCATTCACGCGAATCCATTTCATTGTGAATACGTGTACTTCTAGGCCTCCCCCGTTGACGTCTCATAGTCACATTAACTGTTGCATGTGCAAATGGCGGTATGAAATCCTCGTTACCAATTGGATATCATTGAGCCGAATAAATTTCACATTGATTCTTGGCACTGTATGCAGGGTCTATGTACAGTGTGGGATCATGATGCGTCGATGTACATACCGCAATGACATGGCTACACGGGAACCTGAAAGTAGTGAACTCACCACACTGACATGTACGGTCAGATAATGAAACTGACCATTTTCGTCCGTCGCGATGAGTCTGTACATTATACGACTCTTGCACTTCAAATCTTGTCCTTTGCGCGTCATAAGATGTTACGTAATGTGTCGCAGCTTTACTTTGATTGTCCACATATAGTCGCCACATGACTTTGGCGAAGCGATTACCTCTGTCAAGCTCCTCACGGGCTTCCTGTCCGTGCTCTAAAAAATATGCCACCAGTCTACTGTAAGTTATACGCACAAGTGAGGTAATTGGAAGGTTTCGCGCCCCTTTTAGAACTTTATTAACACACTCTGATAGATTTGTTGTCATGTGGCCAAACCTTCTTCCTTGTTCATCGTAAGAGATGCTCCACTTCTCTTTCGGGATGCGATGAATCCAAGCAGCTATTTGAGGGCTTGTTTCTTTAAATTTCTCTAAACCAGCATCAAAGTCCAAGCGCGATGTTGTATATCCTACACATAGCACACAAAAAACATTACTATCGGTGGTCCATTATACGAATTAGACGAATTGAAAACATACCTAACTTCTTTAACTGCTTCTTCAACATGACATTCTTGAACTTGTGATTGAAATTACTGGCCACGTGGCGAAGGCAATACACATGATATGCCTGTGGTGGAGACCATCCTAGATCAGCATTGTTGACTGCAGACAAGATTCCCGCATGCCGATCAGAAATCAGACAGATTCCGTGTTTTTGCGTAACATGTATTCAAATAAGTGCTAAGAACAACGACTAGTTGTCAGTATTCTCCACAGACACGATAGCAAATGCAATTGGAAGAATGTAATTGTTGCCATCAACTGCTGTAGCAATCATTAGGGTCCCACGATATTTGCCATATAGATGGGTTCCATCGATCAAGATTATTGGCTTGCAATAATTGAATGCTTCACAACACTGTTTAAATGTCCAAAACACCCTTCTGAAAACCTTGTGAGCTTGGTCTAGGCAACCATCAATGAAATGGTCACGCAAATCCAGCTTATTTTATTATTATTATTATTATTATTATTATATAGTTTGTGAAAAATATATCAATCAAAAGTTTAAAAAAAACAATATAATCCTTTGGGTTTGATTTTTAAATTTTACTTCAAACATGCATTTAAAAATTAGAGATATAATAAGATACAAAAGCGAGGAACAATAATATATTTACTAACACAAATTATTTTATATTTTTAAAATTGTTTTGTTATATAATTATAGTTTTAATTCTATTTTTAACATGATTAGTGTAAGGTACGTAGTTTAAACAATAGATATTTCTAAAATTTAAATATTTACTCTAAGAGATAAATTGCTGAATTATAATAAATTGTTAAAAATTTAACAAAACTAATATCTTCATAATTTATTGTATAAATATATTTTAAGCAAAAAAGTTTTTAAAGTTAGTTTAGCCTAATGTTCACCGAAACGACGTAATTTTAAGGTTTAAAGATTAAAAAATTAGAATGATAGACCACTAGGGTTAGCCTAGTGGTGTGAGGTGTGTGTGTTAGGAGTGTGTGTAGTGTAGGGTGTTGTGTTCAATTCCTTGTAACCTCCAAAAAAAAAAAATTAGAATGATAAAGACTAGCATAACTCTTAAATAAATTATAATTACAAAATCATCATGATTTTTACCACAAAACGACGTCGTTTTGGTGAACATTAGATAAAGTGTTTTATATCTCACTCCTTGTCATAGGAATGTACAGTAATTTCGTACACAAACAAAAAATAAGTGTGGGGCCCACAAATTTTTATTTCCCACTCCTTGTCTCACTTTCTCTCTCTTGTTTTATGTTTGTGCACGAAATTACTATATATTCCAGTAACATAGTAGATACAAAGCCCAAAAAAAATTTCTACGCACTTTTCGATTTCCATGCTGACATGGGTCCCACA